CCTCCCTCCCTCCCTCCCTCCCTCCCTCTCTATGGTTTCTGTCTGTCTTTCTGTCTGTCTCTTCTCTTCTCCCCTCCCCTCCGCTTCCCTCCTCTCCTCTCCTTTTCTCTTCTGTTCTTGCTCTCTTGCCCAGGCTGGAGTGCAGTGGTGAAATCTTGACTCACTGCAGCCTCTGGCTCCCGGGTTCAAGGAATTCTCCTGCCTTACTCTCCCAAATAGCTGGGCCTACAGGTGCACACTGCCACACCCGGCTAATTTGTGTATTTTTTTTGTAGAGACAGGGTTTCAACATGTGTGAGAATGGTCTTGATCTCCTGACCTCGTGATCCACCTGCCTCAGCATCCCAAAGTGCTAGGATTACAGGCGTCAGCTACTGCACCCGGCCTGAACAGCCTTTCATAATTATATTTTAGGAACTGTCATGAACTCACTTTTACTCCCAGATCTTTATATTACTAAGCTTACAGAATTATATGTGTACGTGCATATGCAAGAAATTTTAAAATAATTATTGGAAGTTGATTTATGAATTCAGTTTGGGTTTCTTGGCAAGAGAAATTTAGTCATTTGAGATATAGCTACATTAAGATAATTGTTGTTTATTGCTATTCACGTAAGAGTATTGTGTAACCTTTTCCTCTCTGTGTGGGGTATACTTGCAAGTGAGAAGTCTTACCAGTAAAAAACTGAAAAATAGTGCAAGAAAGAGTCTTATCTATAATTGATGATTTTTAAAATCTAGATTGTAACTTTAACTTGAATAGGGACTAGATAAAATATTTTTGTTATTGGTTATTTGTAAAAATAAGTGGTTGTTAGTAGATCAGCAAAGCATTGGGTTTTTCTTGAGATATGCAGAAACGCTTTTTTCAGGACTTTTGCTATAATGATTTTTTTCCTGAAAGATTTTTATCTGTGTTTAGTAACTTTTGATTTAAGAGGGTGCATTTTACCTACCTATTTGACAAAATGTTATGTAATTATAGTTAAAGTTGAATACTATAAAAAGTACATGATGTTGAAAATATACTTAGGTGATTGCCTAAACCATTTTTACGTACATACAGAAAGAAATTCAGAATGATGACGATTCTCAAACCAGTTCTATTTGGACTAAACATAGCAATGAAGAGAAAAACAAAGATTTCAGGAAAGATACAGGATTTCTTGAAATGAAAGATGCCTTAAGAGAGACCATGTATAGAACCCAGGTAAACTTTATAGGCTAAAAAACGTACGTTTCTCATGTTTCTTACAGAATTGTTTGAGAGGCAAAGTATGGTGGAAAAAAACAGATATTGGAATCAGGCTTGAGCATGTTAGGAAATTGTCCTATGTCTCTGTTTTGGAACTCTTGCTGAAGTAATGTTTGTATGCATATAGAAATACAGAGTTCCTTATACATAGTGTATAATTAATGGTAATTACTTAAAAACTCTGGTATGTTTAGGTAATGTGTGTTTTATAAAGCATTTTCTTACCTGAGATCACAATATATGTGTATAATTCATGTAAATTCAAGTATTTAACTGTATATAGAATAAAATTTAAAATATACAAATGAATTCTATTTTGATTGATTTGTAAAACAATAAAACAGAAAGGACGTTGAACTTGGAGCAATGAAAAGTACCTCAAGAAAGCATATATGGTGGCTCTCAAGTACAATTTTTCAAACAGCAGTAGAAACCACAAAAAGGACATTATTATTTCTGCTCTAGAAGAGTTAATATTCAGTTATGTTCAGTTTCATATTGTGTTTAATAAAGCAGCCTACTCAGTTAATTTATCAAATTATTAACCTGATAATTATTAGTCTAAACTAAAAGTTTTATGTATAAGCAGGAAAAAAAATCAAAATAGTTTTTCCCATATCTGTCAAGTATTTTTGAAAAATAATTCTAGGAGTAATTTGGAACTTTTAAAATTGCACAGTTTCTTAAGAAATTGTATGTGGCAAGATTTGCCACAACTTTTTCTTTTTTTTTTTTTTTTTTAATTGCTTTTTAGGTTTTGGGGTGCATGTGAAGAACATGCAAGATTGTTGCATAGGTACACACATGGCAGTGTGATTTGCTGCCTTCCTCCCCATCACCTATATCTGGCATTTCTCCCCATGCTATCTCTCCCCCAACTCCCTACCCCCCACTGTCCCTCCCCTATTTCCCACAACTTTTTAAACTTAAAATATTTTTGCATTTTTTTCTGACTTTTTCAATGTATGTTGCTATTTATGTGACTTATAAGACTACTTTTTGTAATACTATATGTGCATGTTTTAATGAGAAGCTTTTTTGAGTTGACGTGCCTCTTGTGAAATATGCATTGTGAATCACAGTATATAGCATTTTTACATATAGAAAGAAATGTAAAATGATGGAGTTATTAAAATAAATTTAGTTTTGAGTAAACATAGCAGAAGAATAAAATAGATTTCATAGAAGAAATGGAAAATATTAAAATACATATAAAGTCATATACACACAGTTTTGGCCAACAATGGACCCCATATATGACAGTAGGCTCATAAGATTATAATACCATATTTTACTATGCCTATTTATGTTTAAATACACTAATACTCAGCACTGTGTTGCAGTTGCCTACAGTATTTAGTACTGTAACATGTCCTAAAGATTTGTAACCTAGGCACAATAGGCCATACCATATAGACTAGGTGTGTAGTAGGCTGTACCATCTAGATTTGTGTAGGTAGACGCTGATGTTTACACAATGACATAATCACCCTATGATGTACTTCTCAAAACATATCCCCATCATTAAGCAGTGCATGACTGTATATATGTCTTCTTGAGTTCTTTTTAGGACTCAAATTATATATGTAAATTTCAAGTAGAAATATCTTTTTTCAAAATAGCTATTTTGATATAATGATAAACAACATGATTTTTAATACTACTTAATCTGAATTAAGCACATAGGTAAACTAAATTAAGCATATTTGTTAACATACTATAAAGCTTTGTGAACTGAAAACATTTATGTTCTGCTTGATCTTATATGATTCAGAGAGCTCTTTACTATATTTAATCTTGTATGTATATTTTACAAAACCTATGTTCCTGGATTTTGTGACTTGTGTTGATTGTATTGAGGCTTTATTTAATCCACAGTCTTAACTAAATTACTTTTACAAACACACAGAAAGAAATGCAAAATCATGATGAAGATATTAATGTTGGTTCTATTTTGACTGAACATCACAAAAAAGAATCCAGTGGTTCCAGTAAAGATTTGAAATTTGTTAAAATGGGAAATACCTTTGGAAGGCATACATATGAAAATCAGGTAAAACTTTTGAAATTAAAAATAATTTTTTTAAATATATGTGTGTTTATAGTACACTTTTCTGCAGCTTTAAAAAATATATAAAATGAGTTCTTATGTATCCAATATCTGTATTAAGAAATAAAGCATTACCAGTTTTTTAAGACCTGCTATATTATTTTCTAATGTATCCCCTTTGTCCCTCTTACTTAGAAGTAAACTTTATCTTAGAATTTGTGTTAATTCTTTTCTTATTTTTCATTATAGTTTTAACAGCTATGTGTGTATTCCTAACCCCATATGGTTTAGCTTTGTCTATTCATGAACATGTTAGTTTATGTTATTTGTAGACTTTTTTGCTGGTGTATATAAAATTTTATTGTTTGACTGTGCCGCAATTATATCTTTATCTGTTTTAGTGTTGATAAGCCTTTAGGCTTCTTTTTGTTGGTTTGTGTGTTTGATTGGTAGGTTTTTGCACTTATGAAGAATTCTGCTATGAATAGTGTGAACATTATCTTATATACCTCTTGGTATACATGTTCCGTAATTTGTCTGTCTTAGTTGGTATATTCCTAGGAAATGGAGTTGCTGGGTCGTAAGGACTGTGCATGTTCAACTGTACTGGGCAGTGTCCAGCTTTTTTTCAAAATATTTTAATGTACACCTCTGTCGGTGGACGAAATTTTCTGTTGTTCGTACTTCTTTATTTTTTAATGTTGTATATACTTGTGTGAAAGTCACTCGAGTTTATTTGGATTTGGTAACATGTCATTGATATTGAGATTTAATTTGGTCTAAATACATGTAGAAGGAAATTAAGAGAAAAGATGAAGATATTCAAAGGAGTTATGCTTTGAGGAGAAAACGCAAGAAAGAAAAAGAAAGCGATTGCAAAAAAGACGGTGAACATGAAAAAATTAAAAGTACCTTAAGAAGGCACATGTATTGTAGAGATCAGGTAAAGCTTTGTAAGATAAGCTATAGCTTTATTTTTAATTTTTTGGTTCTCTAATCTAGATATATAATACTGTATGTTTTATGAAAAAATCTTGAGTCAATCTGGTATAATATTCATAGTTAATATTCCAGTTAACTTTGGTCCACAGTAAATGTATTTCTATATGCATACACAAAGAAATCTGAGTTAGTAATCAAGATATTCCATGAATTTGTTCTGCCTGAATATAATGTATAAGAAAAAGAAACTGGAAAAGACTATTTCTTAAAATGGAAAAATCTATAAAACTACATGTGTGGATAGTTGGGTAATACTTTCTAATGTAAATTTTATTTTTTATTTTGCTCTATCTTTTGTATAATACAGATCATTTTTAATGAGATCTTGTTTTTAAAATTGAATCCTTCATGGGTAAATTTTCTCTAGAGTATGACTTTTTAAAAATCTAAATAAACCATACCATGGGCTGGATGTGGGGGCTCACACCTGTAATCCCAGCACTCTGTGAGGCCAACAGGGCAGATTGCCTGAGCCCTGGAGTTTGAGACCAGACTGGGAAACATGATGAAACCCCATCTCTACCAAAAATACAAAAAATTAGCTGTTGTGGTCGTGGGTGCCTGTAGTCTCAGCTCCTTGGGAGGCTGCATTGGGAGGATTGCTTGAGCCTGGGAGGCAGAGGTTGCAGTGAGCCAAGATCTGCACTGCACTCCAGCCTGGGTGACAGAGTGAGACCCCATCTAATTTATTAATTAATTAATGCCATACCATACCATACCATACCATACCATACCATACCATACCATACCATACCATACCATACCATGTATATATGTGTATATTCAGAAGGATTTCAGGAAAATGATAAAGGTAAATAGGTAATGAATTTTGTTTTGTGTGACCAAGGCAACAACAAAAAAGCAGTTCAAGGAAAGATTTGGACCAAGGTAAGGTGAAAAGCACATATGTAAATATCAGTTAATTCTTTACAAATTGAAATGTTTGGGTTTGTTTTTTTTTTTTTTTGAGACGAAGTTTTTTTTTTTTGATCCGGAGTTTCGCTCTTGTTACCCAGGCTGGAGTGCAATTTCACTTTTTTTTTTTTTTTTTTTGAGACGAAGTCATGCTGTCACCCAGGCTGGAGTGCCATGGCGATGATCTTGGCTCACTGCAACCTCTGCCGCCTGGGTTCAGGCAGTTCTGCCTCAGCCTCCCAAGTAGCTGGGATTACAGGCACCTGCCACCTTGCCTTGCTAATTTTTGTATTTTTAGTAGAGATGGGGTTTCACCATCTCTGCCAGGATGGTCTTGAATTTCTGACCTCGTGATCCACCTGCCTCAGCCTCCCAAAATGCTGGGATTACAGGCATGAGCCACAACGCCCAGCCAAAATGTTTGCTTTTTAAGCTTTTTCTTTCATTATGTAATCTTGATAGATGATTGTGAAGATCTTTGCTGTGGTTAACAAGGTATGAATGCGTTCCTCTTATATTGTCCTTTGTGATATCATCTGTGTTGACACTATCTTTAGTACATTTTCTAAAATCATTTTACTTTGTTATATGCAGAAAGAAATGAAGAATTCTATTTTTGCCGAATATACCAAAGAATCAAAAAACATGGATATCAGGACAGATGTAGATGTTGCTGAAATAAAACATGCCTTAAGGAAGCACATATATAGAGCTCAGGTAAAACTTGGCACGTGAAAAATTTTGTATAATATCCTGTCCTACTATAGTGTAATCAAAATATAATTATATACACACACATATGATTCGTTAGTATGCTTAATATGTCATAAAATAATTTTCTTAGTTTATTGGTCTGTTATAGAGTAATGTATTTGGGCATTATTACATTAAACCATCTGAATTCTGTCCTATTTATACCTCAGTAGTGTCACACATAAGTCATGTGCTTGAAGTCTTGGCCATAAAGTCTTTCCCTGAAGTGTTTCCCCTCTATAATTTTATAGTTTCAGGTTTTACCTGGAAGTCTTTAATTCATTTTGAGTTGATTTTTGTATATGGTGAGAGATACCAGTCTACTTTCATTCTGCTTATGGTTATCCACTTTTCTCAGCATCATTTAATGAAGACTGTCCTTTCCTCTGTGAATGTTCTTGGCACCTTGTCCAAAATTAGTTTACCTTTAATATGTGGATTTATTTTGGGGTTCTCTGTTCTTCACTGGTCTGTATGTCTGTTTTTATACCAGTACTGTGCTGTTTGGGTTACTATAGCTTTGTGGTATTCTTTGAAGTGATGTAGTGTTTGCCTCAAGCTTTTTTCTTCTTGCCTAGCATTGCTTTGGCTATTTAGGGTCTTTTTTTTGGTTGTTTACAAATTTTAGGATTGTTTATCCTGTTTCACAGAAGAATGTCATTGGTATTTTGATAAAGATTGCATTAAATCTGTAGATTACTTTGAACAGTATGGTGATTTTAACCATATTAATTCTTCAAACTCATGAACTTGGAATGTCTTTCCATTTGTTTGTGTCCACTTCAATTTCTTTCATCAGTGTTTTGTAGTTTTTTCCTTGTAGGTATCTTTCACCTCCTTAGTTAAATATATTTCTAGGTATTTTATAATTTTTGGAGCTCTTATAAGTGGGATTGCTTTCTTGATTTATTTACAGCTAGTTCATTATTGGTATATAGAAAGGCTACTGATTTTTGAATGTTAACTTTTTATCTCATAACTTTACTGAATTCATTTATCAGTTTTAAGTGATTTTTTTATTTTTGGCAAGTCTTCATGTTTTTCTACATGCAAGATCATGTCATCTCCAGAAAGGGACAATTTTACTTCTTTTCCAATTTGGATGCCATTTCTTTCTTTTCTTTGCCTTATTGCTCTGGTGAGGATGACTTTCAGTACTGTGTTGAATAAAAGTGGTAAAACTAGGCATTCTTTTCTAATTTCAGTTCTTACAGGAATGGCTTTCATATTTTTCCCATTCCACATAAGGTAGCTATGGGTTTGTCATGTATGGCCTTTGTTATCTTGAAGTACTTCTGTGCCTAGTTGGTGGAGAGTTTTCATCATGAAGGGATTTTGAACAAATTTTATTAAATGATTTTTCTGCATATATTGAAATGATCATATAGTTTTGGTCCCTTCATTTTGTTTTTATTAATTTACTTATTTGTATATGTTGAACCATCCTTGCATCCTTGGGATAAATACCACTTGATCATAGCGTATTGTCTTTTTGCTGCGTTCTTGGATTTAGTTTGCTGGTATTTTGTTAAGGATTTTTGCATCTGCGTTTCTCAGGCATATTGCCCTGTAGTTTTCTTTTCATGTTGTGTCTTTGTCTAGTTTTGATATCAGGGTAATGGTGACCTCGTAGAGTGAGTTAGGAAGAATTCCCTACCCTTCATTTTTTGAAACAGTTTGAAAACTATTGTTGTTATTTCTCTATATGTTTGGTTGAATTCAGCAATAAAGTCTTTTGATCCT